TGCCCAGGCGGGTCTCAAACCCACAGGCTCAGGCAATCCACTTACCTCAGCCTCCCAAAGTGCAGGATTACAGGCTGAGCCACCGAGCCCGGCTCTATCGGATATTCTAATGCATCGTTCTTAAGTTCTGCAATCCATAAAGCACTCGGGCATAGCCACAATCCAACCAAATCCTTTGTGGTTTAAAACAAGGATGGCCCATACTCCAGTTTATGATACCTCAATCCTTAGTTTGAAACCTTGTCAGAAGGTCCTTTAGTCCACATTTCTATCAGCATTCTAGTGATGACCACTTAAGTAATCTCCAAGAAGTTCCAAACTTCTCCAGTCTTATCTTCTGAGTCCTCCACAAGTCTTAAGCTTTTTCTGACCGGCTCCTCCACACTCTTCCAGGCCTCTGCCCATCACCCAGTTCCAAAGCTTCTGCCACACTTTCAGGTACCTTTACAACAACATCCCACTTCTAGTACCAACTGTCTTAGTTCATTTTCGGTTGTAAAACTGAATATCCAAGATTGGGTAATTTATAAAGAAGTTTATTTCTTACAGTCCTAGACTGGGAAGTCCAAGGTCAAGGGGGTGCATCTGATGAGGTCCTTCTTGCTGGTAAGAACTCTGCAGAGTCCAGAGGCGGTGCATGGCATCACATGGCCAGTGGGCTGAGCATGCTCACATGCTAACACACTAGCTCAGGTCTCTCTTTCTTTTTTTTTTTTTTTGAGTTGAAGTCTCACTCTGATGTCCTGACTGGAGTGCAGTGGCAGGCTCCTGGCCACCGCAGCCTTGACCTGCTGGGCTCCGGCAATCCTTCCGCCTCAGCCCTCCAAGTAGCCGGAACTACAGATGCGCGCTACCATGCCTGGCTAATTTTTGATTTATTGTAGAGATGAGGTCTCGCCGGGGCGGGTCTCGAACCCATGGGCTCAGGCAATCCACTCACCTCGGACTCTCAAAGCGCTGGGATTACAGGCTGAGCAACCAAGCCCGGCCTCTTCCTCTTGTTATAAAGTCACCAGTACCCATCTCATGACAGCCCATTTATCCATTAACCTATTAATCCACAAATAAACTGATCTCATGAAGACAGAGCCCTAGGGCCCCAAACACCTCTGAAAGTCTCAATCTCTCAATAGTGCCACACTGGGGATTAAGCTTTGAAAGGGGTTACATTCGAACCTTAGTACCTACCTGAATTTTATGTTCCACAAACTCACATATATTTCGGTTCAACTCGCTCACGCAAATCACTATTTTTTCAACTAATGATTTTCTCAAGTTGCATTGATATAAAGCAATTTCAACTCAAGTATTTCAAATTTTGGTTAAATGCCTCCACCCAGAAAACCTAGAAACTTAAAAAAACACACTCATAATTTAAAGAGAGCTATACCTACTGAGAAGTATGTGTGATACACTGCTCCAAGTGGCTTACAGATTGTGACGGCGAATTTTATGTGTCAACCTGAGGCAGCCAGAGTGCCCAGACCAGTTTCTGATTAACATGGGAACTGGAGAACTTAGTAGACTGCACAATGTGGTTGGGCATCGTTCCATTCCCTGAGGGCCTGAACAGAGAACAGAAGGGAGGAGGAACTCGCCCCTTTTTCGTGCCTCACTGCCTGAGCTGGGACATCTCATTTCATCTGCTTTTGCCCCTGGGCTGAATTTATATCATGGACTTACCTAGGTCTTAGGTCTTTGGACTGGATGGAATCACACCACTGGCTTTCCTGGGCCTCCAGCTTGCAGAGGGAAGATCATGTGGCTTCTTAGCCTTCAGAACTGTGTGAGCCAATTCCTCATAATCTCTCAAACTCTCTCTCTCATCTGTCTACATACTGTATCATATTGGTTCTGCTTCTCTGAAGAACCATGACTAGTACACATGTTATTTATTCATTCAATCTTCCCAATTGCCCTACAAGTGAAAGTATTATTGCCTCCAGTTTACACATAAGGATACTGAAGCACAGAGAAGCTAAATGAGTTCCCCAAGGTCACATAGGAATAAGCAGAAGAGTTAAGATTTGAACCCAAGTATTTGGTTCCAAGTTAATGATTTTCCGTTATTACTGAGGCCTTCTCAAACTATAATGCATTCTTGAACTCACATTTAAAAAGCTACTAATACCTAGCACACGGCAACACAATCATAAAACAAATTTTATTCACATGTGCATTTTATAAGCAACTGATAAAACTGAAAAGTGATGAAGGTTTGCAGCTCTAATCATCATTTAATATACTCCTATACATTTAAGTTATAGTTAATATGTGCTAATGTAAAATATTTCCCCTTTTCTAATTTATAGCAGCATATCTTCTTCCAAAGCCATCATATATATATATATATATATATTTAAACACATTATGGAAATTACATGACTTAAATGACATAAAGAAATAAAATAATCAGAAATAAGTTAACTCGGATGTATATATTCAGAAAATGATACTGAGGTTAAAGAACACACAACTTAAAAATCAATACAGCGTCCTTTTCGTTCCCAATCTCCATATCGGGTAGGTTCCGGGCCCCTGGGTCCACCTTTTTCTTTGGTAACTGGATTAACATCATCTGGAAATTCTAAGAAAAGACAGAAGCCATGAGCAAAAGTCAAGGGAGAGAGGAAGTGCATTATGATCAATTTTGATGACAGGCTTGCATAACAGGCTGGATATCACTGACCAGGTTGCTATGCAGTCTTTACAGGGATGGAAAATGTGATTTCTTTTCCTGAGTGTGGGTACATTTTCGTATTCATTGAACTTTACTACAACATTAGTGACTCGGAATTCTGGGTGTGCACTCAACTACAACCTGGGAGTAGCTTCAGATGTGCTGTGGCTCCAGACAGCTGGTGAGGAGTGCTGACAGCAGGGTACACAGAGGCTGGACGGCTGGGAAACACGATGACTCTGAAGGAGTCACCCTGACTCAATGCCTCAGCTTTTTGCCCAGGAAAATGGGGCGAATGCTCACACTTGCCTTGCTGTGCTGGCAATTAGTCACGGTAATGAACGTAAGAGTCTAGCAGGAACCAGGCACCTAAAGGTGTTCATGAGTGTTGGCCGTGAGCATTCATGTTCCTTGTCACACGGACTGTCCTCAGCAACTGGTTGGCTGGTATTGCCATTTGTGAGCATAACAGCAATTATCATTCAAAGTACCATGTATTCATCAGAGGAAGCCCATCAGGAGGCTCAGTGCTCAGCCCTTTATAAACACTGACTCATGCGATCTTCGTCATGAAACCACAGGACAGGAACCATGATTTTATCCCCATTTTATAGATGAAGAAAATGAGACACAAAGGTTAAGAAAGTTGCTCAAAATCACACAGCCTCTGAGTGGCAAAGCTGAGCTTGAATCCAGACATTCTGGCTGGAGCCTTGCTCTCTGCCTATAAACTGTACTGCTGCGTATATGGAACCTGCTATTAGAAAGAACTCAGATTCTTAAACTCCATCTATCCAATCTGTCATTATCTATTCATCAATCAATCATCTATTAATCAACCAACCAATCATCTATTTTCCCCTCTATCATCTATCTATTCATCCATCCATCTCTGCCAACCTCTCAACACTTCTCATTCCCTTCCCAGCAGTCTCATTCTCTTTTTTTTTGAGTGGGAGTCTCACTCTGTCACCCAGACCCCCGGCCACCGCAACCTCGACCTGCTGGGCTCCGGCGATCCTTCCGCCTCAGCCTTCCGAGTAGCTGGAACTACAGGCGCGCACTACCACGCCCGGCTCATTTTTTGATTTATTGTAGAGATGAGGTCTCGCCAAGTAGCTCAGTCGGGTCTCGAACCCGCGGGCTCAGGCAATCCACTCACCTCAGCCTCCCAGAGCGTGGGATTACAGGCTGAGCCACCAAGCCTGGCTTCATTCTTTTTTTTTTTGAGGTGGAGTCTCACTCTGTCACCCATGGTAATGGTCACTGCAGCCTCGACCTGCTGGGTTCAGGCGATCCTTCCACCTCAGCCTTCCAAGTAACTGGAACTACAGGTGTACACCACCATGCTCGGCTCATTTTTTGATTTATTGTAGAGATGAGGTCTCGCCAAAGTGCCCGGCTGGTCTCGAACCCCGGGCTCAGGCAGTCCTCTTGCCTCCATCCCCCAAAGTGCCGGGATTGCAGGCTTGAGCCACCATGCCCGGCTGACTCACTCTCTTTAGCATTTATCACTAAGTTCATAGATGTGTTTCTGATTTACTGTCATCACTGCCTATCTTGCCCACTAAAATGTTAAGCTCACTGTGGTATATAGTACTTTTTGTCTGTTATTTGTTGTTGTTTCGGTGCCTGGTTCACAGATGACTCCACAATTATCCCACAAGGGGATGCTGAGACTTCATCTCTTTTTCACGGCAATCCCCTGAGCACTGGGCTTCATGCCTTCCACAAGGACCCTGCCAGGCCCTGTGCTGTGTAAGGAGGGGAAGGGACCTGTGGTGATCCTGAGACACGAGGCCCCTTCCCTCATGGGACTTACCCAGAACGGAGGTGGGAAAGGCCAAAAGACAAACACATACACGAATTACACGTTCTGGCAAGGCTGGAGAGGGAGAATGCTCTACTATCCCTCTGTCTTCCCACCAGGTGTCCAAAGGCAGGTGTAGGAGGAAATTGGAGTCCACAGGCCAGAGCACTCTGGTTGAGGCCTCCAATTTCACCCATATTGGCTCACTCCAAACCCCATGTTCACTCAGCTACAGTCGAGATGTCAGCAGAGCTGCACTCCTACAGGCTCTCAAGGAGAATTCATCTCCTGGCATTTTCCAGCTGTCAGACGCGCCACAGCCCTTGGCTCACGGTCCTTCCTCCACCTTCACAGACAGCAGTGCAGCATCTCCAACCTCTCTGGCCTTCCTGCTTCCTGCCCATGAGCACCCTTGTGATGATACTGGCACACCTAGGCAATTGGGGGTCCCTCCCCGTCACAAGATCCTTAATGTAATCTTGGGCAATGTCATGAGGAAGTATTTTACCTCAGATTTTTTTTTGAGTCAGAGTCTTACCCTGTTGCCAAGGCTAGAGTGCAGTGGCACACTCATGGCCACTGCAGCCTCAACCTCCTGGGCTAAGGTGATCCTTCCACCTCACCTCAGCCTTCCCAGTAGCAGGAACCACAGGCATGCCCTATCATGCTCAGTTAATTTTTTGATTTACTGTAGAATGAAGTCTCGCCAAGTTGCCCGGGCTGGTCTCAAACCCCTGGACTCAGGCAATCCTCTTGCCTCTGCCTCCAAAAATGTTGGGATTACAGGTGTGAGCCACTACACCTGGCTAGTTGTTTAAAGTCTCTATTATCTTGGCTGACTAGTCTGGTCCAAGTGTTATAAACTGAAAACTAGTCTCGGCAAAGTGTTATAAACTGAAAACAGTGCACAAATTTCACAACATTCATAGTCTAGAAAAAGTTTCAGACGGATTCCTGTATCCTCTATTGATACCTTCTTGCCTGGGATGCCTCTATGCATAGATGGATTAACTCTCATTTCACTAGAAAATTAGACAAGCAGGACCACCTTGCCCAGGACTTGAAGTGGCATGTTTATATTTATGCTGTTCAAATTATTTGTTTTAATTTAAATGTAATCATTTTATTTCATTTCTCTCCCCTCCCCTCCCTTCATCCCTTCTGTCTTTTTGAGTCATGGTCTCACTCTGTTGTTCAGGCTGGAGTGCAGTAGACCAATCACAGCTCACTGCAGCCTCAACCTCCTGGGCTCAAGGGATTCTTGTGCCTTGTCCTCCCAAGTAGTTGGGACTACAGGCATGTGTCACCACACCTGGCTACTTTTTTTGTTTTTTGTAGAGATGAGGTCTTGCTATGTTGCCTAGGCTGGACTCAAATTCCTGGGCTCAAGCAATCCTCCTGTCTCGGCCTCCCAAAGTGCTAGAATTATAGGCATGAGCCACCATGCCCAACCAGATTTTATTTTTTGAATAGCTAATATTTTCACATGTTCTACAATTCAAGGATAAAAGGGAATCAAATAAAACTAAAGGAGTACTTTTAAAACAGAGCTTAAGGTATGAGCCAAATTTTGTATGTACTGAATACAAATTAGTATTTAGTCTATTACCATCCCCCTCATCTAGTTATTCTCAAAACTACCCTTTCCCTCTCTCTAACAACATGGTTATTGCGAGAACCACTACTTCTACCCATGACCCATCTGACTGACTCAGCTGTTGATACCTGAGCCAAGCATGACCAATGAGCTTTCTTCTGAGGGAATCTGGAAAGAGGAATGAGAAATTACAGTCTTAATCTGGCTGCTCTCTTGGACTGCTCAGCTGCTGGGAGGAATTACTTACCACTTAGTGAACTCGAAGTCTAGGCTGGAGAGAGGAAATAATAAAGGGAAGTGAGCAGAGACAAGAGGAGGAGAAGAACACCTGGTTTCCATGTAGGAATGAGTTCTGAGCCTCCAAGAGGAGGAAAAAAACGTCTGGTTTCTGGGTAGGGATGAGTCCCAAGGCTCAAGAGCCTTGAGAACATCTCAAGAGAAGGAGAACATCTGGTTTCTGTGTAGGGAAGAGTTTCAAGGCTCCAAGAGGAGAACATCAGGTTTCTATGTACTGATGAGTTACAAGGCTCTAAGAGAAGGAGAACATCTGGTTTCCACAAACAGATGAGTCCTGATGCTCCAAGAGAGGGAGGAGAATATCTAATTTCTCTGTACTGATGAGTCCCAAAGCTCCACGAGGAGGAGAACATCTGGTTTCTTCAAGGGATGAGTCCTGTTGCTCCGAGAGGAGGAGAAGAACATCTAGTTTCCATGTAGGAATGAATTCCGAGGCTCCAAGAGAGGGAGAACATCATCTGGTTTCCCTGTATGGATGAGTCAAGGCTCCAAGAGGAGGAGAACATCTGGTTTCTATGTACCAAAGAGTCCTGAAGCTCCAAGAGGAGGAGGACATCTGGTTCCTGCATAGGGATGAGTCACGATACTCCAAGAAAAAAGAGACCATCTGGTTTCCACAAGGATGAGTCCTGGGGCTCCAAGAAGAGGAGAACATCTGATTTCCATGTAGAGATGAGTCCTGGGCTCAAGAGAAGAACATCTGTATTCTGTGTAGGGATGGGTTTTGAGGCTCAAGAGCAAGAGGAGAACATCTGGTTAGTGCATAGGGATGAGTCATGAGGCTCAAGAGAAGAAAGAGAACATCTGATTTCCATGTAGGGAAAAATCAAGGCTCCAAGAGAAGGAGGAGAACATCTGGCTTCTGTGTACCAATGATTCCTGAGGCTTTAAGAGGAGAAAAACATCTAGTTTGGACACGCAGATGAGCCCCAATGTTCCAGAAGAGAAAGAAGAATATCTGGTTTTCACGTACTGATGAGTCCCAAGGCTTCAAGAAGAGGAGAATATCTGGTTTTCGCATATCGATGAGTTCTGATGCTTCGAGAGAAGGAGGAGAACATCTGGTTTCAACACAGAACTGAGTTTCAAGACTCGAAGAGAATGAGGAAAACAGCTGGTTTCTGTGTAGGGATGAGTTCTGAGGCTCCAAGAGAAGGAGAAGAACATTTGGTTTCCACTTAGAGAGAGTTCCAAGCTTCCAAGAGAAAAAGAAGAACATCTGGCTTCCATGTAGTGATGAACTCTGAGGCAAAAGTAGGAGGAGAACATCTGGGTTCTGTGTACCAATGAGTCCCGAGGCTCAAGAGGAGGAGACACCTGGTTTCTATGTAGGGATGTGTCTTGAGGCCCCAAGAGGAGGAAGAGAACATCTGGTGCCTGTGTAGGGATGAGTCTATAGGCTCCAAGAGCAGGAGGAGAACATCTGGATGGGTCCAAGGTTCCAGAGGAGGAGAACATCTGGTTTCTGTGTAGGGAAGAGTTCCAAGGCTTCAAGAGAAGGAGGAGAGCATCTGGCTTCCATGTAGGATTGAGTCTCAAGGTTCCAAGAGACAAGTCCCGAGATTCATGAAGAAGAGAACATCTGGTTTTCATATAAGAATGGGTCTTGAGGCTCCAAGGGATGAGGAGAAAATCTGGTATCCACGTAAAGATGAGACTTGAGTCTTCAAGAGGAGGAGGAGAACATCTGTTTTCTGTGTAGGTATGAATCTTGAGGCTCCAGTCTCTTTCCAAGGCCAGCATCATCCCTGCCTGCCCTTGGGTGCCTCACCTTGACCTGGACCCTAATAACAGCCCACCATACCTTCTGTTTAACCTTGCTCAAGGAGGGTTCTCTTATTCATATCAAAGAAGTTCTCAACTTACATATTGTGCCATGTGAATAATGCTGTATGATAAATAAGACAGTCAAACACAATCAAACACCCATCGGGGGCCCCCCAAAACTCATATGTATTACTGAAGGCCAGTGTGGTAATTTTACTCATTGTGGTATATGCTTCATTACTGTTAATACAGAATTCTGAGTAATAGCATATTTCTTTTCTTTCGTTAATAACTAAGGTACTTTCTTTTAGAATTCCAAGATGAAGCGAGGCACCCATACTTACTTTCCAGTGGCTCTTTCTCTAATTGGGAATCCTCTGGTGCATCAAAACGACCTTCTGGTAACGTTGGCTTCTTAGGGGGTTGTTGGACAGGTTCAGACTTTCCTCTCTGAGAAGCACTTGCTTTCCTCAAAGAATGACAGAGGAGGGGTGATCCTAGCAGAGTGGAGATAGTAGAAAAGTAGGAGCTGTTCACTTATTCTACTTGAATCATTTAATATTTTTGTTTCCAGCATTCACGTTAACTCTTATCAATGGTCTGAGTAATAGCATATTTCTTTTCTTTCGTTAAATGGTCAAAAGGTACAAAAGGTCATAGGTTGAAAATTCCTCCCTCCACCCCTATCTTCTAGAACAAATTTTCATTTCCCTTTCTGGGAAATAACCAGTTTGAAAAGAGAAGCTATGAAATAAGTTAGTTGACTATTATCAAAATTACAGAAATTTATACAAAACACCAATTTCTGAAGCAAAGCTAAAATATCAAAAATAAGAACATTAAGAGTAACTAAGTAATAGAATATGAATCTTTCAGTGATAATATTTAGTATCTAAATCTCTAGAAGTCACAAGTGGCTATATTTTGTATTCTTATATTCAGTCCTCTATTCCTGTCAACCAAAAATTTGAAAATGCAATAGGTATCTGCCATGTGTAAACAAAATCACTTCAGTTCATAAAGTTAAACTTTCAGTATTACGAAAGTTCTCCAACCTCACGTCAAGGTAACATACAATAAAGGCAAAACCACACTGAACAAATGAGCTTAGTGTTAGTGGTTTTCACTTTCCTAAAGGAAGAGCTTCAGAGGCAGATATACTTGGGTATCAATTCCAGCTACATTACTGTGACAGGCAGAATGACGGCCCCAAAGTTGATAAGAACTCAACACCCAGGACCTGTGAATAAGTCAGATTATGTGGTAAAGGATTTGGGTAGCAGACGGAAAGAAGACTGCTTATCACATGGTTTCAACTAGGAAGATGATCCTGGATTATCTGGTTAGGTCAATGGAACCACAAGGGTCCTTATAAAGGGAAGAGGGAGTTGGAAGAGAGAACCAGAGAGGTGGTCATGAGAGACAGATTTGGCCTGCTGCTGCTGGTCAGGAAGATGGAACGTGGGTAGCCTCTTGAGGCTGGACAAGAAGAAAATAGGTTCTCTCTGGGATCCTCCAGAAGGAAACACAGCCCTGCTAAACATTCTGATTTCAGCTCAATGAGACATATTTCAGACTTCTGACTTCCAGAACTGCAAAGTTTAAGCCACTAGTTTGTGGTCATTTGTTACAGCAGCAGTAGGAAAAGAATACGATCCCTTACTAGTTGTTCAACCTTGACCAAGTTACTTACCCTTTCTGTTTCCTTCCTTCCAAGTTGAAAATAATAGTATCTATCTCATTAGATTACTGAATAAACAGGATCACTTATGTACAGTACTTAGTATAACGACAAACAGTACCTATTATTATTTCATAGAATTATCTGGTCTTGACAGGATTACAAATAATTAGAATGTTTCATTTGTGCATCTTATTCATATTCTAGTCATCATTATATACATACACAAATAGATATGCACACACATCAAGGAGAGAAATGAACGTCTGTATGTCTGTATCTGTGCACATACTGGGTGAGCCTACCTTGGGATGCAGGAGTCACCTGTGTAAGAGTCTTTGGTGAAGAACAGAAACATGAGTGCATCTTGGGGAAGAAAGGAGTAGCCAAGCATAAGTCTGAGACTGTTCCCTCAGTCTGCCCTACTATGCTTCTGAGAGACGTTATTGGTAGAAAGATCAGTTTTCTTAAGGGAGCCTGAGACCCACAAAAGCATAAACAGAAATATTTTTGTAGTCAGGTGACAGTACAACAGAACTGGGGGAAGGAAAGACAGGGATGCTGTGCTCTGCAGCACAGGGGCTTTGTAGCTCTGGACATAGTGCATGTACTCAGTGGCATGGGTGGTGGATGAGAGGCACTCACACATGGCTTCAAAGGCCCCAAGAAAGATGGTGCATCAGATGAGGATACGTGGCAGGAAGGGCAACCTGAGAGCAATGCTCAGCAATTCTGCCTGTCGAGTAGTAGGTGGTGAGTAGCAGTAATGATGTAATGCCAATATTATGTTTTGCCTGTCAACTGACTTGTCTAACAAATGTACAACAAAAACCATCTTTTAGGATGACATGAGATAACCACCATAAAGCCCATGTCTTCTGCTTTGAAGGGGTGGCCTGGCCTTACCCAAAGCCTATTTAGCACTGTTTACATGCACATTACTGGCAAGAAGACAACCTTTTAAAAAGAAGAAATAATACAAATAAAACCAAAAGAGTCTCTTTTTCACACGCATGCGTGCGCGCGCGCGCGCACACACACACACACACACACACACACACACACACACACAATCCCAAACTTCAGTTTCTGGCAATTTGATAAATGAGCTAAATAAAATTCTACAGCTAGAAAACATCTAAAAAGGTAAACAAATAAACAAGACACTTTTTTTTTTTTAGTTGGAGTCTTACTCCATTGCCTAGGCTGAAGTTCAGTGGCACATTCACAGTCACTCCAGCTTTGACTTGCTGGGCTCCAGCAATCCTTCCGCCTCTCAGTCTTCCAAGTAGCCGGAACTATAGGCACACGCTACCATGCCCAGCTGATTTTTGATTTATTGTAGAGAAAAGGTCTTGCCAAATTGCCCGAACCCATGGGCTCAAGCAAACCACTTGCCTTGGCCTCCCAAAGTGCTGGGATTACAGGCTGAGCCACCGAGCCTGCCCCAAAACACTTAAATCAGAGACATAACATTTCAAAGTAAATAATGATAAACTGAAAAAGCAGTTCAGGGAAGTAGGCACTTAAGTTGAAACTGCTACATGTCTTGTGTCTTTCTTTCCTGGAGCCTGGGTACCGAGCTTTTGGAACAGCACACAGATGACTGTCTCTGAAGCTTAAGCAAACAGAAAGCCTATTCAAGGCTGAGACTCAGAGAGGTTCCCACACTGAAAAAAGAAAGTGAGCCAGAATATTTCACTGCAGGATCCTGTTAAAATGCAGATTTTCATTAGTTCTGGTGGGACCTGGGATCTTGCTTTTTTTTTTTTTTTGAGAGGGAAAAAGCAGGATTTATTGAGAGGAAAGAAAAGCTCCCACAGGGGGAGGAGGGGTTGCCAGGATTCTTGCATTTTTAACAAGCTTCTAGGTGTTGCTCATAATACTGGTCAAAAGAACAAGAAACTAAAACCTCCAGGTAAAGAAAAGAACAGTAAAAGAAGGAAAAGTGACCACCTTAACCTTGGTTCTGGGTGGAGATGTGACAAAAGAAGACTCTGAGATTCTGAAGCCATGAGCTGAGCACACCTGAGTCTGGGTCTGACCACACATTATCTGCATGGTCCAAATGGACCCAAGTCTAATGTGGAAGTGCTCCTAGACACATGGCAAAGGCTGAAGCGGGTGCTCTGAGAAGAATATGCTCTCACCCATGTCTCATGGAAGTCTTACCAAGAATCGCAGGAAAGCATTTAGGGAAATGAGAGCCAGCAGAACCAACCAATAGCAGAAAAGTGGGACCAGAGAAAAGCAAAATCCCAAGGAGAGACCATTTTAACACCCTGGAGGCAGCCAACACACAAAAACAACTTCAGACAAAGCCAAGTGGTGGTATGTACATGGAACAACAGAAGCTCTCATACACCACTGGTACAGGGACCATGGCTATAGAAACAAAAAATGCCTTCACATCTTGGCCATCATATCATAAAACAGAACAGGCCTTTACATACTTGGAATTCACTCGCTCCATCTGGACACAGGTGAGACACACAAGAGTGAGCAGCAGTCAATCCTGGTTTCTAAAATAACCCAAGTGTCCTCTGAGAGACAGCATGGAAAATGCATCTATATTTACACAGTTGAACGAATAACTACACCTCAAACATCAGTAGGGATCCATCTCAAAACGGGCTTAGCTGGGAGGAAAAAACAAATACAAACGACGTTTAACTATTATATAAAGATCAAACCCAACGTTACACAATTGTATCAGGAGAGAGCACACAGGGAGCTCCTTGACATGAAAAGTCTGTCTTAAATTGGATAATGTGTCTTAAATGTCAGTCTATGTCTTAAATTGGAGAGCGATTTCATAGTTGCTGGTTTTGCTTCATAACTTAAACGTGCTACACGGACATATTGTGAGTACCAATTATTTCATAACTAAACGTTTAAAGCTAGTGGAAAAGGGATGTTGGATGAACATAACAAAACTTTAAAACCGCTGTCTTGAGGTTTGGATAACGTGGAACTGTCACTTTCTATATTATTCGCTTTTGGACCATTTACAATTTTTACAATTAATAAGCAAAATGTATTTGGTGAAACGGCCCAAAGAAAAGCAATTGCACAGAAACGTGGAGCCACTGACTGAGGGTAGTAATTCTGATTTCAACTTGCACACATTTCTCCAGAAGTCATGAACTCAAATGTTTAGTCTACTCCGGGTTGCTAACTCTGTAGCATATTGAGAAAAAATTCCAACAAAAATGGGCTTAAGCTGCTGGTTTCACTGAAAGCAGGCCTTTTCTATACTAACAATTCCTGGCTGCATCTTTCTCACGCTACACCTATTTCCCCTGGCCCACTTCTGCATTTGTCCAATATGTTTTATCCTGCAGGCTGCCGCACAGCCTTTCAGATGGGAATAAGTAAAGGACGGAATCCCAATACCCAGGGCCCTCCTCTCCGTTTGTCTTGGGGGCATCCACACGCGGCGCGTCCACGCGCTCCACATATGCCGGAACGTCTGGGCTCCCGCATAGCGTGAGCAAGGCCGGAAGGAAGTCACGCTTGGACCAGAAAAGCCTCGGCGCTCTTCCGGCTCTAGGCTCACCGGAGACCCGGGCCGTGCGGGACCGGTTCCAAGCCACAGCTGGGTGGTGAAGCCTGAGAGGGGAGCCGTGCAGTCCCCGCGCCCTCGAACGTCCCGGACACACGGCTTCCTCCGCTGGGGACGCCTCTGGCGGCGCCCAGGTCTTCGCTACCCCGCCCGCGACCCTGGCCCGGGGCCTGGGGCCTTACTTGCAGCTGTCCACGCTGCTGCCGAGGCGCGGCTAAGCAGTCCGGAGAGCCTCGATGGGGACATGGCGCCGGCTCCCGCAGCGTCCGCGCAGGCGCAGGGGAGCGGGGGCGGAGTCGGCGACGCCCCGGACCGCCCACCGGACGAGGCTTTCCCGGGGGCGGGGCCTCCACGCCTGGTTTGGGCGTCCCGCAGAGCCCTGGTCCAGGCTCTCGCAGGAGAGCAGGGGAGCGGCTCAGCTCCCTGGCCGAGAAGGACTCAACCACCCACCCCGAAACCCGTGTGGACGAAAGCCCCAAATCATGGCTGAAGTCAGATGAAGGAATAGTCCCGTTGACGCCTCTTATTCAGAACCAGAAGGTCTCTGGAAGATCCCTTTTATGGAATACAAAGACGGAGTGCCTTTTAATCTTTGGCTCATGTAAATGCTCTCTCTGTTTATGTTCTGAATCTCTCCTTGTTTAGTAAGCCCCTTATCCGTCGGTTCTGATCCACTGGCAGATGACCTGAAAGGTAACACTTTGGGTGCGAGGCAAGCCCTGCCAGCTACCCTCAGCTCTGATGCGCCCCCCCATCCCCCACAGTATTAAGTGCACGTGGCGAGCAGGATCCTTCGTGCAACTGGAGCAAGCCTTTACAGAGTCACAGTGAAGGTCCTGGGAGTTTTGGAATTATGTCTTTTCAAAAAAAAAAAAAGTTTCTGCCTGGTCTTGGGCCCTTGTTAGTGTCTGCCCGCGTGACATAAGGCAGCTGTGCAGTCTGAGTTTCTCGCTATGGACTGAGTTACCTGGTCCTCCTAGATAAGGAGACCCCCACACAAAGAGAAAGTGGAAGTGCAGAGCAGAGCTAGAGCCCAAACCCAGGCAGTTTCCATCAGCAGGTGGCTCCCAAGGTCATGCTTGTGGCTCTCAGCTTGTATCTACAGTTTAACAATGGCGTCCGTGTGACCAGGTGACAGTCAAAGCTGGATTATGAACGACCTTGCTTGGTGAACTACCCCAGCTGACAATGGACTCCTGTCACAGCTAGAGCTCCATTTAAGAGGTCCTCAAGGTACAATAGAGGGATAAAAATTTTTCCCAGAGGGCAGAACTTACTTTTTCTTGTAGACTTTGCCTAGAAAGAGATTTGACTGGGGATAAAGATCTACATCATTTCATGGGTGGTGACTGGTTTCTCAAGCGACCAGGACCTCTTCCTTGGAGCAGGACCTCTCAATGTGGACCCAAAGTCTGAGAACATTTGGCTTCCATTGACTGCGCCAGAAGCTTCCACTCAGAGGGGCTCTGAACAAGATTAGTATATTTACAATAATCTTTATATTATTATATCTATTGCTGCCTAACAAATTATACTAAAAGGTAGTGGCTTAAAACAATGAATACTCTCTCATGGTTTTTGTGGGTCAGGGATCTAGAAGCCAGAGCATCTCTGGCTCACTCTTAAGTGAGGTTGCAGTGAAGCTGTTGGCTGGAGGTCCAGTCTTCTGAAGGCACCACAAGGACAAGCTCTGCCTCTGCACTCGCACACGTGGTTGTGGCCAGGATTTGATGCCTGTGGGCATTTGGGCTGGGGAAGCTTTATCAGTTCTTTGATAAGGGGGCTTCTCCGAAGGCCACCTCACAGTATGGACCTGGCTTTCCACTGAATGAGTGGATGGAGGTGGAAGCTCCAATCTCATAATCCCATCTCAGCAATGAATCCTACCATTTTTATTGTATTCTGTCATTAGGGTCCAGCCCACTGTCAAAAGGAGGGAATTGCACAAGGGCTGTCAACCACAGTGACCCACAATGGTCATCAGTCTCCTTCTCCACCATGAAGTGCCTTGGACCCACTAAGGCAGTCATGGTGGCAAGAGTAGACGTGTGTACTCTTTTTTTTTTTTTGAGTTGGAGTCTCACTCTGTCGCCCAGACTGGAGTGCAGTGGCCGCTCCCGGCCACCGCAGCCTCGACCTGCTGGGCTCCGGCGATCCTTCCGCCTCAGCCTTCCAAGTAGCTGGAACTACAGGCGTGCGCTACCACACCTGGTTAATTTTTTTTGATTCATTGTAGAGATGAGGTCTTATCAAGTTGCCCAGGTGGGTCAGGCAATCCACTCACCTCAGCCTCCCAAAGGCGCGGGATTGCAGGTTGAGCCACCGAGCCCGGCTTGACATGTGTACTCTTAACACAGTCCTTCCCCTGCCACGACTGATGGGCTGACACCACTACTTACCACAAACTTAATGTCCTGATATAGTATTATGCAGCCTGGGTGGCAGGTCTGATTGCAGTAAAATCCTCTCCCATAAAGGAGGTAGCACCTTGCTCTTACAGAAATAGACAATTATTCTGTGTTTGGATTGCTCTCTCTGATTTGTGTTTCTTTTATACACTCCATCTGTGGACTTACTGAATACTCTATACTCCATACACCTCAGACAGAATCTCATACCACATTGCTTCTCACCAGAGGACACCTGTAGTGAAACCCACCATGTGTGCAGTGTCACCTGGCCCTTTGCAGTGCAGGTGGCACCAGGGATCCAAGAATGATGCAAATGTGTGGACACACTGGCTCCAACACTGCTATAATGAAGCCATTCGTCTTTTGCCTGGGAGTATCCTGCCAGTATCCATGACACTGCAGCAGGCTAGCCACCAGCCTGCAAGGGGGGGACACTGTAGATTCTCTGCTTCCCCTGCCCCTCTCTCTGCCATGCCAGGCCCTGCTGGCACAGCAAGTTTTGGGCCCAGAGAAGGAGTGTATCCAGGAGAGAATGCAACAACGGTTTCTCTAAAGTGAAAGCTGGAATTGCCACCTGGCCGTTTTTACCTGGTTCTCTTAGGTAAGGAAATTAGAAAACACAGTCATAGTGGCCACTGTGGTGACCGGCCCTGCTGGCCAAGTGGGAAAGGGAACAGGGAGGAGAATGTGACTAAAATTTGGAGCACGTCCTGAAATCCCTCCCTACAATACCATGTTCTTATATTTTATTTCTGAAAATACCATCTTGAATTATAAAAATTAAGCATAAAACTATTACAACCATGTATAGGCAAGACCACCCTCTTGGGTCTTTGGGTCACTCCAAGATAAAGAAATCTAATCACCAAGGTGAACACAAAGGAACAGGAAGCAGATGGCAGTGGTGAGAGGTTCTGACCATCTAGACTGAGATCGTGGCAGAGCTGAACTGAGAGGCCTGTGTTGCCAGTTTTCTTTTTATTTTGAGTCAGGGTCTCACTCTGTTACCCAGGCTGGCGTGCAGTGGCATAATCTCAGTTCACTGCACCCTCAACCTTTTGGACTCAGGTGATCCTTCTGCCTCAGCCTCCCAAATAACTGGAGTTACAGGTGCACACCAGCATGCCTGATTTTTTAAAATTTTTTTATAGAGGCCGGGTTAGGTGACTCAGCCTGTAATCCCAGCACTTTGGGAGGCTGAGGTGAATGGATTACCTGAGCCTGCAGGTTCAAGAACAGCCCAGGCCACTTGGTGAGACCTCGTCTCTACAATTAAAAAATCAAAAATTAACTGACTGAGGTAGTACACGACTGTAGTTCCGGCTACTTGGAAGACCTAGGCGGAAGGATCATCAGAGTCCAGCAGGTCGACGCCGGGGTGGCAGTGAGTGTGCCATGGCACTCCAGCCTTGGCGACAGAGTGAGGCTCCAACTCAATTAAAAAAATTTTTTGTTTAATAGAGATGAGGTCTCACTGTGTTGCCCAGGCTGGTCTCAAACTCCTGGGCTCAAGTGATCCTCCCGCCTCAACCCCACAGGTGTTATTAGAGAAGTCTGGAATGTGCAGCATGCTGCTGCTCTAACATGATCCTAGACATTCTGGGGTCTGTAACGGGCCCTGGAGTTTTCTCAACAAGCAGCCCAGGTGCTTCTCACCAAGGGCGTTGCAAAGCACTGCCTCCCTGTTTCCTTCCTCACTAGCTCACATGTGCTTAATTAATAGACTTTCCTTTGTCCCCCCCATCTAAGATTGTTATTGTGTGTGTTGTGGTTGGGCCACAATTTTGTCTGAGTTGCAAACTACTGAGACAAGGTAATCCCAGAACAGGGGAGCAGAAGACACCCACGGAGGGCCTGGGCTTGAAGCTGGAGCAGGGATGGCAGCGCTGTCATGAGAAAGCATTTCACATGTGTTAATATGGGAAATGGTGCTTGCAGACACAGGACAGACAAGACGAGCTCTAATGGAATTGATAAGTTTTTATATTCTGTGTGTTGTCAAATCCATTTCATATGCTGGGGCATCCTGGTAGAAATGGCCCCCTTTCTACCATGGGAGCTGAGAGTTAGACTTGCTGTTGTTCATGCCTGACTGTGTAGCACTTACTACCTTGCACTTGGTCAGCTGGACATCCCACCAGACCAAGAATCTGGAGGGAGTAGCACAAATGCATATGTGAAGCCCAGTCTTCGGGTCATCCCTTCCAGCAGGAGACCCCCACCTTCCAGCTCCTTCTGAGGGCATAAGAACATGGCTACAATTCTGGCCACCTGATTTCCTTTGGTTCCATTTGTTGTCCAACCTGTTACTCCAGTCTTTCCTTCCTTCTGTGAGCTACCTGATACTTTTCCAGTAAGAGTTCTTTTTCTGTTTAAGTTAATCATAACTGTTTGTCATTTGCAACCAAGAACCCTAATTGGCCTATTCTAATGAGACTCATTTGCTAAGAGTCAGACCATCTGACATCATCCTTTTCTCTCACCCTCAGAACCCCACCCCGTCTCCCATAACTGTAGGGAGGTAAATCAATCATGTATGATGGTTTCTCTGATAAATAAAAGAAGTTAAATTTGTTAGATTTTAAACCATGATCACAGATGTGGTTTTAAAATTGTATTAATACTTACCGATGACCCACCAACCAGCTATTGATCCATCAGCTAAGAGCAATTTACCCCTAATAATACTATTTATATGATTATGAGTAAGAATGAGCCCTTTGATAAAACTGGATGTTATCCAGACTTAGAAGATGAGTGATATTTCAAACTCAGAGCCAAGATATATGAAGACTGAAAATGTATGTGGCAAAAATATGTGGTGGATAATGCATATATTTACATTTTCAGTTATAA